CTAACACCAAAAGTTGAAAGGCTTTCAAGTGCAGGATATGCTATGAGATCTTTTGAAGCTGCGCACAATTTTTTCCTACGGGCAGACGAAAAGTCTGAGCACAGAAGCCTAGCCAATGAAATGAAATCAAGACATAAAACCGTGTATCTTAGCATCGAAAAAGTGCAACATACGAATATAGTCTATACTTTACACAATTAATCTGCCTGTGACATAAAGATACGTTGAAGCTGCGCATAGTAGACTACAAGAACCGTGATGATTACGCATCGTCATCCGCCCGAATGTGCTTCGGTTGCTGATGCTGTTATCGGTTTGCAAGATCAGCTGCGACGAAGCTCTTTTTCCGAAGCGCCTCGCCCATTGGTCATACTGGCACCATCAGCAGCAATAACCTTACTATTATCCGCAAATCTGAGTGGGGTACGACCTGCTACCGTTGCAACAGAGGTACCACTTTCACCAAGATCACACGTGTTTGTACACGTGATACCAGTCATACAATCTTACCCCTACCGCTGTGTTTGCCAATACGACTGGCATGGCCACGAATACTCATGCCACCAACTAATGCTAGGTTTGCTACTGTCCGCCATACTTGAGAAATCTCCACTTTTCTGGGGCCGGTAGCCGTCAGATCGACAGTGACATGGGCCCAGTCAAACTTAGCCGTGCAATGGCCCATGCCGACAATTCAGACATGCATGAGGGAAGAGCAGGCCGCAGTAAGCCCACCAGGAAAGTTTCCTCAAAAAACCTACATCCCAAGTCCCAAGCACCACTCCTGGATCCTAGTCGAGCCTAAACCCGAAGTCTCAACCCCCAAGAGCAAATCTGTGACCTGCATGGCTAAACCGGGCACCTGTTAGAACCCAAAGCCCTAAGAAATAAACAGCCCAAAACCTCCCTGTCCCTCTCCCTAGACCCCCAAGCGCGCCCAAAAAAAAATTCGAAACCCTGCGCCAAGGCTTGTGCTGCGGTGCTGCGCATGGCTTGCCAAGCCTGGCTCTCCGTCGCTTCGGCGCAGGGAAGGCGGTTGAGCTCAAACCCTTCACACAGAAATCGAAATAATGGCCAACATCTATGTTGGGGCTCGTTATTCTGATTTCGGGGCTCCTTATTTTGAGTATGGTACAAAAAACCTCAAAAGCCTGTTCTAATTATCAAGGCCCCTTTCTTACGGATCCTTTCGGAACCCAATTCCGACCCTCTTTGCGAAGGCGGCCGGCGACCTTAAGCCGGGTCGGGACCGGATGCCTCTTTGCTGTGGTTTCGTTGTGAGCCACTGCTTCATGCATCGTACCTATAGATTATAATCGATTAAACTATAGTATATTATATTGTGGTATACTATATTATAGCATATTAGATTATAGTACCTATGCTACTTAGCCTTGCTTTCACCGGACTTTTGACGCCCGCTCCTGACTCGGGCGTCAGCATTGACAAGCTGGCCGTCACGTCTTGCCAAAGCCTGCGAATAAAGAGAAGCATTCCACCTCCTTGCAAGGCCACAACCTATGTACCCTTCCACTGACTCTTGAGACCGCGTAGTCTTAACGGAGCCTTATTCGTGACTACGACTTAGTACTTAGTATCCTTCTATGGCCAACTGTTCTTGCAGCCACGAGAGTGTAGTCTCTGAGCAGCCCGGCGCATTCCGATGCCGAGACAAGGCATCCAACCAGGCGTTGGACGATGAGTAGTTCAGCTGTCCCATGTTGCCGTACACCTCAGCATGTCCACGAGAGGGCTTGAAATTTTGATCACGAGAACGGCGAGCAGTTGCGAGTCGGATTGGAGAATAGCAGTGCTGGCACTCCGTACTACGACAACAACATGTAAGATCTCAATTGAAATGACACACTATGACAAACTACACCTGGGCCGGTGCTGCTCAAACCCGTCTTTGCTGTGCATTCTACGTGGATCCAGACTCTGTGCTGATTTCACAGGCAAGTAAGCCTGTGGCCAAATAGCTGCCAAACCATGTCTTGAGAAGTCTGAACTCTAAACCCACGCAAGGTCCAGATGCCGGCGTGCTTTCCATGCGTACAGCAACAGCCTTGTATGTAAGGAAGACTGTTCAGAGACGAAGGTCAGCATCTGTGATCCCAAAGCCTCACGTCGAGTGCCTGATCCCTAGGCAGTGAAGCCTCGTGACAGGTGCAAAGCTTGAACTCATCACTCAGGCCCCGACAGCAGTGGATGAGAAGAGCCACAAGAACTTGAGATTGGGGTTTGAGAACCTCTCAAGCCTCGGCTCATGGGCTGCATATATAAACAGCTTTCGCGGGCTTTGTTGAGCCGGAGTTGCATGAGCGTGTAATCCCGAAGAAGACAGCATGAGTTTTCTGTCAGATGCCCCAAGCAAGGCCAGTTTCAATTGAGTCCTATCGTTCTTGTTGCTCGTTCCTGCCTAGTCCAAACATCACCTCCGATCTCCCTCTGGGTGTGGAGGCGCATCGTGGAGGTAGGCGGCCGCACGGCTCTTGGCCTAGCCCAGACTTCGCGTTTTTCAGCTGAGGATGGAAGGTGAAGACGAAATTAAGAATTCGGACTCAAGACTCGGGTTTTAGGTTTGAGGCTCAGGCTAATGGGGAGCATTTCCGACAGAGGCCAGCATCCAAAAAGAACTCGCCACTACTCTTCCATGATGGTACTGCTGCCTATGCTAACCCTAAACCCTAAACTCTGAACCCTAAGCCCTAAACTCTGAACCCTAAGCCCTATCTAATCCCTAAACCCTAAACTCTGAATCCTAAGCCCTATCTAAACCCCAAACCCTAAACTCTAAACCCAACCCGAAACCCTGAACCCCAAACTCTAAACCCAACCCTAAACCCTAAACCCCAACCTCTAAACCCAAACCCCAAACCAAAGCTGAAGATCTGGACTTCGTTCGAAAGGCCATGGCTTCTCAAGTCATCTGCTGGGCATTACAGTATGGGACGATGCAAGCAACAGTATTATTAGTTCCTTCTTGAAGTTCTACTACCAGTTTTCCCAAAACCATACCCCAATCAGAATGAAGACCCCTATTTTATTGTGAAGCTTCCCACTTCCCCTTTGGCTTCCCAGCTCATGCTCGTTTTACGGGAAATTTAGAGAGCTCTTGCCTGCTTCATGCCTCCTCAACCCATTCTCTGAAGCAGTGTACAATCTGAAACCCTGGCATGTGCTTATCTGGAAGACCGGTCATCGATTTCCACTGACGAAGGCTCGTCGTTTTGAAAGCGTTTCTGCGGATGTGCGCCTACAATTGCTGAGCTGAAATTTGGCACCGAACCCCATTTACAAGATCTCCTCGCGCCATGCACGCGGTACGAGGTCGAACCATTAATTGCAAAGCAGGGATGCGCAGGGCTTTAGACAGAGGTTCGTTAAGGGAATACCCGTCGCTCCTCATACACGGCGTCGAACTTTTCCCAGGTCTGGTTCATGAGCATCGCATCCTGCACCGAGGCGGCTCCAGCAGGTCATCCCTCACAAAATCTTACCTGCTCCCGGGAACGAACAAAAAGTCCCACCCCGATGCTGAGACATGAGGCCCTCTGACGTAGTGTGCTTTGCCTTGTGGCTGTTGCTGCTAATGAAGGAATCATTCAATATGAAGCAGAAAGTTGCTGGCTGCATTGGGCTCCTTTCAACCCCCCCCCCCCCCCCCCGCCCCGCCAAGCTGCTTTGGCTGCAGTCTGCCCTGAACCTTCGACCCTAAACCTTAAACCCTGAGTTTGCAGTGAGAGTCCCAAGTTCATGCAACCGTCGTGAGCGCGCTGCGATGCCTGCAGGATTCCGGCCGAGTGGATAAATCCTGACAGGAGCAGGGCCATGCAGTGCCATGGGGGAATGGAAGCTGTATACCAATAGTACTGCAAGTATTTGTAATAGTAGCAGCAGCAGCAGCAGCAGAAGCAGCAGCAGCAGGAGCAGTAGCAGTAGCAGTAGCAGGAGCAGGAGCAGGAGCAGTAGCAGTAGCAGTAGCAGTAGCAGTAGCAGTAGCAGTAGCAGTAGCAGTAGCAGTAGCAGTAGCAGTAGCAGTAGCAGTAGCAGTAGATGAGTATGAGTATGAGTATGAATATGAGTATGAGTATGAGTATGAGTATGAGCATGAGCATGAGCATGAGCATGAGCGTGAGCATGAGCATGAGGATGAGGATGAGGATGAGGATGAGCATGAGCATGAGCATGAGCATGAGGATGAGCATGAGGATGAGGATGAGGATGAGGATGAGCATGAGGATGAGCATGAGTATGAGTATGAGTATGAGTATGAGTATGAGTATGAGGATGAGGATGAGGATGAGGATGAGTAGGAGTAGGAGTAGGAGTAGGAGTATGAGTATGCGTATGAGTATGAATATGGGTATGAGTATGAGTATGAGTATTTCACCAATTATTGTTATGATTCTTATAGTAGTAGTAGTAGTAGTAGTAGTAGTAGTAGTAGTAGTAGTAGTAGTAGTAGTAGTAGTAGTAGTAGTAGTAGTAGTAGTAGTAGTAGTAGTAGTAGTAGTAGTAGTAGTAGTAGTAGTAGTCAGTAGTAGTAGTAGTAGTAGTAGTAGTAGTAGTAGTAGCAGTAGTAGTAGTAGTAGTAGTAGTAGTAGTAGTAGTAGTAGTAGCAGTAGCAGTAGCAGTAGCAGTAGCAGTAGCAGTAGTAGTAGTAGTAGTAGTAGTAGTAGTAGCAGTAGCAGTAGTAGTAGTAGTAGTAGTAGTAAGTAGGAGTAGGTAGTAGTAGTAGTAGTAGTAGTAGTAGTAGTAGTAGTAGTAGTAGTAGTAGTAGTAGTAGTAGTAGTAGTAGTAGTAGTAGTAGTAGTAGTAGTAGTAGTAGTAGTAGTAGTAGTAGTAGTAGTAGTAGTAGTATGAGGCTGCCAGCAGCCTGGCTTGCGGTGGACAGGGGCCGGACAAGACCCCGACGAAGCTAGCAGCGACTCCGATTCCAGAGCAGTTGCTCCTGTGAGGTTCGGCGTGACGCTGGAGATGAACTGATCCACCGACTCCTGGTGTTCGAAGTGCTCAGGTTTAGGGTTCTGGGCTTGGGATTAGGGTGCCAGGCTTTTCAAGGTTTAGGGTTCAGGGTCTAGGATGTCCTTGAAACATGCACTCACAGCGCCTGGGAGCTCACGTCGCACTTCGCCTGCTCCACTGTGATGCCCAAAGAGGCCGCTAGAGACTGGACTTCCTGGCACATCGTTCCCACCGGAGCCCATGAATCCGACTGTGCACTGTCTCTGCTATGTACGCATGCATGCCTATCTACCTATCTACCCACCTACATACATACATACAGTCACACAGAGAGGCGGACAGATGGACGCCTACAGACCTGCACTGCACACCTACACCTACATCGATGTGAAGCTTCGCTCCAGGAGCCGATAGCTTCTGCGGACCCTGGGCTGCCGTGGTCAAAGTCGCGAGCCCGGTCCTGCCAGTTGGGCATGTTCTGATCGCTGATCTTGCAGGACCTGCAGAAGGGCCATCGGATATCGAAATGGTAGAAGCAAGCGTAACTGAGAAATCACGATGCCGATATGCAGATGCAGTTCCTCTTGGCAGATTCGTCTGTCTGTCACACAATCGTGAAGGCCAGAGACAGCGAGACTTCTAAGACCGTGCCTCATGTGATGAAAATGTTGCTGATGATACCCTAAACGTTTTGCTCAACCTGAGACTTTAACCCTAAACCTTAAGGCATGTTGATGATGACGATGATGCTGGTGATGAGGGGGACGAGGATGAGGAGGATGAGGAGGATGAGGAGGATGAGGATGAGGATGATTATCAATATTGTCAGTAGATATTGCTATTTGTCTGTTTACTCCGCAACGACCCAACCACCTTGTCTGGCATTCACAGACAGGAAGCGCTGCAAGACTCTTGATGTCTTGGCTTGAGGACAGTGGAGCCTCCTCAGCCTCCTCCAAGGAGCCCCCTACCGTCAAGAAAACATTGTGGCCCATTGCATCTAAAAAAAGGGGCCTTAATGATTAGAATAGGTTTTGGGTGCCACTCTACTGTAGTTATAATAAGGAACCGCCCAAACTGGTATAGAGAATTATCAAGGCCCCTATACTAGGAGTGAATTGCTGGCTAAGCCCGGACCCCCGAAATCAGAGGAAGAGGAAGAAGAACCCTCAACCCTAAACCCCCTAACCCCTAAACCCTAAACTTTAATCTTTAAACTTTAAACCTAACGAAGCCTGGATAGGAACTTGATGGTGAACTTCTTGCCGCCCTGGCGCTTGGCCTCAGTGGTCCCAGGAGCTTTGCTTAGAGCTCTCGCGGAAGACCACATTTTTGGGTTTGTCCAAAGAAGTTAGGGTTCAGTGTACAGGGTTCAGGCTTTAGGGGTTTGGGTGCTTTAGGGTTTTGGGTTTAGGGGTTAAGTCAGGGTTTACGGTTTGCAAGGACTTTCGGCTTCTGCGCTTTCTCCCACTGCCTGGCTTTCTCCCACTGCCTGGCTCTGTGCTGGGGAGGTCGTGCTTCGAACTTCCGGCTTGGGGCAGTGCTTGGCTTCGGGAAAGACGTGCGGTTTCGGATTTGGGATAGCCTAGGGTAGTTGAGAGTAGTTTAGGGTGTAAGAAGCAGGAGCCGACTGAGACTCGGAGTCCTCATGGGAACCTCGTTGCTGCAAGGATCCTTGTAGCTGCAACGTGTGTGTCCATATCAGTTTGGGCCGAGGTTATCAAAACTAGGACCCTCCAGGCACCTGGCCGTGCGCAGAATCCAGCCTCCCATGACCAAACCCAGAGCGCCGTTACCACCAGAGATGGCAATGACACCATCCTTCGAGGTCGAAAAACGTCGAGGTCGAAAAACGTCGAGGCAATGTGCTTATTGCCCTGGGAGAAAAGGAAGTGACCGCAAAAAGAAACCTCATTCCCTGAGTCATAGAAAGTTACACATGGCTGCCAGTCAAGGGTGGTGGCAACTAAAGCTTATGGATGATCTGAGCGGAGGTGCATCAAGGATGCAGCAGACCTCTGACCATCGAAGCCAGGGAGATACGAAAGGGGGCTTTATAATTAGAAAACGGCTTTGGGGCAACAGTACTCTAATTACAAAAAGGAACCCCCCAAAGAGTATTGGTAACTATTTAGGCTCCTATAACATAGCACCCTTACAGTAACCCTTGAAGGAGAGACCCCTACATAATTATTAAGGCCCCTATTATAATTCTTTAAAACCCGCCAAAGTAGGGGTGGTGGGAAGGGCCTCCCCTCTTCCCGGCGGACCTCTGGCAGCTGCCACTCCGGGTTGTTGAGATATGGCTTGCAAGACATCTGCCTCAGCCTGCACCGGGGGTTTAGGGTTTAGGGGTTTAGGGGTTTAGGGTTTAGGGGTTTAGGGGTTTAGGGGTTTAGGGGTTTAGGGCTTAGGGTTGAAAGGTTTGGGGTTTATGGTTTGGGGGTAAAGCGATGCAGAACGTAGGAGGGGAGTGTCACTGAGACAGGAGTGGAGGGTCTTTCAGCTAGCTGATACCATTTCCATTTTCTAATCATGCACCACCTCCGAGCACCCAAACCATAGCAACCTATACCTCAACCTTCAACTCACTGAATATACCGACAGTAGGACCCAAATGATGAAAACCGCAATGGAACCATGGATCACTCGACAGAAAAGTAGCAATTAATCTCGTATACCAGCACCCCCTATGCCAACATCCAAATACACTCACTAGAGCCATCCCAACCTCCATGCTTAGATAACACAATCAGCAGCTACAGCTACCTCAACCACTCCAAAGACGCACACCGAGCTCAATTCATTCAAACCCACTTACCAGAACCACCCCAAGACCTCGCTGGAAAGACCAACTCGAAGACCCAACCCTAAGTCTGTGCTACCATGGTAAAGTCTTGGGCATGACGTGCTTCAAATTTTGGAACCAAGGTTCAGGTTTTAGTAGAAAGGGCTTTTTTTGGCTTTGTGCTTAGATGGACGGTTCGGCATGGAGTTGTCATGCAACAACCGACAACTGTAGTACGAAAACTCCGACAGTGCTCCATGCCACCTTGGCACAAGAGCCGAAAGACACAGAACGAAAGTAGTCCAGGGGCAAGCTTATCAGAAGCTTCGTGGCTGAAGACCGCCATAGCTCCTCAACCCTAAACCCGGAATTATGTGCAGAAGCTGCAGAACACCGAGCATGCCGCTTCATGGCCACCATAACCCTGTTACTGATCTCGACACGTGCACGAGCACAGTGGCAATGAGCTTCGCAGAACCACCCAGGCACAAGCAACAGCTCACGGCAGCTTCAACAACTCAAAACACAAAGAATGTGAACCGGAAATTTCAACCTAGCAGTAACCTTGACCTAACTTGTTTCCAATACTTTCTACTGTAAAAAATAGTTTGGCTGTAAGTTCCCACTCTTTCTTGTTCATTCGTTTTTCGCTGCCTAAAGTCGTGCATATTTTGACTTTATCCGCTACATTTAACTCGGGGTATACGCGGCTCTTCTTTCGCTTCATCGTTAAATGTAGTTGTAACCATAACCGTTAACTTCTAAAGATAAGAACTACATTATTATAGCTACAACCTTATCCTCAAACCTTATTCCTACTCTGGATAGAAAACCATTTCCGTTTTCTAGCGTTAGGTATTTCGGGTTGGGTATCATGGGTTTTCTATTCGGGCATGGGTGTATGGAGTTGAGTATGCTACGTTCTATGGGGGTGTGAGTGGTATGGTTTTCATCATGTGCGTCCTAGATTGAGGTCTTTCGGTGAGTCGGGGGTCGAGGTATAGGTTGTTATGCTAGGGGGAGTGCATGATTAGAAAATAGAGATGGTATCTGCTAATTAAATCTTTCTGCTTGCAGATTGCAGATTTGCGATGTTCGTTGAAACGTTGGGCTGTGAATACGTAGGGCCTGGCAGCACTGAAACCCCTGGGAAACCCGTAGCAAGCGCATCGAAGCTTGGGGTATCCCAGCATTTTTCGAGGCAAGCGTCCTAAAGATAAGATGAAGATGACGAGCACAGGCATGGGCGGACATGCCGCAAGACGACATACGGTTGATGACATAAATCCTGCATTACCCATAATGAAGAATATACCATTATTCCCATAGTTTAGGGTCCTTAAGGTAGTGCAGGATTTATATTATCAACAGTAGTATTCAGAAGATTGCGAGCAATGTAAGGCGACCACGGTGTGACGGAGGAAAAGCTGGAGCATGCATGATCTCGCGAAGTGTGTTAAAAACCCGCTGGCAGGAAAGCAGAACAACAACAACGCCTGTTGCTGACAGGATTGGCCATGATTGCAGCACTACTGGTAGCTTGAAGTAATGCAATAACTTGCCAGTCGCGATAGTACTTGTAGCTGCAAAGATGACAATACCGACATAAGAACAAAAAGACTAGCATGCCACACGAGCAGGATCCGCAAAGACAAAGTACTCACGCTGCTAGGCCACCTAAGCATGCCTAGTCGAAGCAACAATGTTGAAAGCGAGATATCGGTAATTATGCTTCGCAAGAGTCTGAGTGGCCTCGACGCTACTTTGTGTGTTGACTGCAACACACACTTAGAACGCGGATCTACAACACCGAACCCTCGTACCAATGCATGGGCCCCAATGGCTCGCCCAAGGGCCGGGCACATAGCGTCCCTTGTTCAGGATGCGCACGGAGTTGTGGCCTGAGTCGCCGCAAAAGGCACCGGTCAGACATAAGTTCTCTGCCGCGTCGGGCATTGAAAGCCTTATTTAGGGCTTAGGGCTGAGGGAGTAGGGGCTCAGGAGCATTAAGATGAAGCCTTGGGTATTTGGATCCGTAGAGGGCGAGGGCAGTCCAAAGAACACTTTGCAGCGGAGTGCATACCTGTTGCCATCAGGAAGGAAGTGGGTGAGGCTGGTTCTTCCATAGTCTGTTCTGCATCTTCAGGTTTGGATCTACATGGAAGGACTGAGTCTCGTCGCAGTTCCGATGACGCTGCTACACTGAGACGGCTGAGCAGCAGAATGCAACGCAAGGAAATGAGGGACAAGTGTTCCGCCTGTGCCGAGACTAGAGCTCATGTTGATGTTAATGGTATGCAATGATAAAAACCATGGCAGAAGTTTTCTGGCAATATACTGCATCAGAAGACGAGACGACACGAGAACGGGCAAGAGGCCCAGCAAAGGAAATCACGAGAAGACAACAAGACAGAACCTGACAAAGTGTCAGTTTGACGGCGACATACGTGCTGCACAAGACCACCTTGGACAAAATGACGAGCACGCTGCGCCGATGTCGCCTGCCAAGCTAAGTTCAAGAGCAGGGGAACATAAGACGAACCGCGCACTCCTAATACACAGTACATAGTACATACTATATGATACGTAATAAGTCTATACACATATACTATGTATATGTATATATATATATATACATACATATACATCTATATGTATATGTATCCTACAGAATCCTGCCCCTTCAGCGCCTCGGTCCAAACACCAGACATTCCGGGCCCCGGGGCCAAAGGAAGCATGTCGAAAGATCTCGGCCACTAGGTACTTCACATTTTCGGTCCTTGCATCTGAAGCAGGCAGCATTCTTTGTGTTCAGGGCTTCGGGTCTGGGTTTTACGCTTTCCGTAGGATTTCGGCTTTCGGGTCTTGGATAGGTCAGACGCTCAGAATTTGGGGGCTCAAAGAAGATGGAAAGGACTGCGCGGACAACGAGATTGGAGTAGAGACTTGGCAATACATAAGACTGTATAGGACTATGTAAGAGTATGCACGTACCTGTATATAACAATAACTGATCACACCTGTACTATACTAAGAAAATGTTTACGTATAAAAGTAGAAAACAGAAGCACATCGAACAGTATGTACACATATATGAGTATACAATCGAATATGCTACCATCAATATAGCAACCATAATAACAAAAACAGAAAGGTTCATAAAGAAACCAACGGAAGTATTAGACATTACATACAATTTACTAACATGTACATATGCGTTTGTGTAGATATATATGCGTTACAATAACACATGCTATATGAATACATATAACAAGGTATAGCAGTGAACAACTTAGCACAACAGAAAATACGAAAAGGGCATGCTCACATAGCAAAGTATACGGTATCGTGAGAAGGCATGAGATGGTGTATGGTAAGTTGTGGTATATATATATATATATATATATGTATGTATATGTGAGTGTGTATACACATTGACATGTACATACTGATATGGTAAAATGTAAGGATATGCAATAATAAATAGTACTAACTACAAAGACATAGCATGTGATTTCATATATGCTTATATATAATGTAAGAGGCTAGGTACATGTAGATGTAGAGGTTAAAAACTATGAACAACAGGTGCAGTAACATATGCAACTGCATGTTAAGTTGACAACTAGACAGACAAGCTGCTAATGATAACGAGTATAATGTTAAGTAACAAGTCACACAAACGAAGACAGATGATAACGAACGACATTCACTGGCAATATATGATAGCCGTAGATAAGCTGTAATCTGTAATCGTGCACGATTACACCTAACAATCTCTGTACATATATACATACACCAACAAGTAGAGAGAGACCAGAAAACTGCGCAGATACATGGCGACATATAAGCATGCATGACAGTTCATGAGAATACAAAACCAAAAGCTGACATATACAGTGTGTACATATGGGAGTTTCCGACAAGAGGGTTACCTTGTTTGGGGTCCTTATAATAAGGATCCTATGATTTAGAGTACTATACTAGGGTCCCCTATTTTCGGAAACTCCCATATGTAGGTATAACAACAACAGCTGATATATGTAACGACATTAAGCTACATACAGGAACAAATGCAAATAAACAGCAATCTGTGCTGTACAATGGCATATGGGAACATAGTACTCTATATATATATATACACATATTTGTGTGCTTGCTAATGTGCACATACATACGACCATCTTTCTACACGTGTACATATGTATACTCACATACAACCGTGCATGTAGTAGACTGCAGTACACAACAATGTAATGACAAATGCCAATACATGACAGGATATACTCATGCATAATAATGCTGTGCTTCAATATAGAAGTACTTGAAGAGTTCATACAGATAGCACAACATGTGCAGAGAGACATAAATATATATATATATACATACAGAGAGAGAGAGAGAAGAGAGAGAGAGAGAGAGAGAAGAGAGAGAGAGAGAGAGAAAGAAGCATGAAAGTGGAATAACAAATGCAAACCTGAAAGAATATCGTACTACAGTATCACACAGAACAATGTGGACATAACATTGTGTAATAAGTCATACTAGTATTTACCATGATACAGATTTCCATATGATGTATAATCATGGCAAAACCGAAAACCCATCACGAGCTCGCTCTGCCACGGGGTCATTTAGGAGATAGGCTTGCGTTCTCGGCCGGCACGGGTTCAGAAATACCAATCCCTGCGCCGAGGAGTAGCCCGGGGTATCCTTCTTGCAGATTCTTGCAGCTGAGAAGCAACCCAGCTTAGGGCTTACGGTTTAGGGCTGAAGGTTAAACTGAGTTTTCCATTCAGCGCGAGTTGTCACTCATGAAACGGGGGAAGCACCAGGGCGGCCTCTTGCAACACCCTGATACAAGCAGGACGCGGCACGCATTAAATGATGCGACAGAAGCAGTACCAGCATGCAGTACTAGGTGTTCAACAGCTCTCAACAAAGTCAGTCTGAATCGGTGAAGATAGTGAACGAACACAGCCGCCAAACCGTGGCAGTCCACAGCCTGCAAAACTCCACTTAGGGCCGTCTCCATGGCGCCGGTGGTGCAATCACCACTTCGGGAATCACCGCGCAAAACCCCCAAGATAGCTGGACAACTGCAGGCCTCACTTGCTGCCAAAAAAGCAAAGCCAAATCTTGAAAAGGGTCTGCCCTTGCAGCCCTAGCCCCCCAAGTCTCCCGGAACATGAAGCTGGCCATGCATGTAGAAAGCCACAGTAGTTTCGCATCGGGTACAGCTTTCCTAAGTGATTTATGCGCGCACGCGCGCGCGCGCGCGATGACCGACTAGTTGCTTGGGACAGTGATGTCCGGCTGTCTTGCTGCTACCATGCCGCCTCATTCGCGCCGAGTTGTATTGTTGCCAACAGCAGCATCATGACTGCAACATCGTAAGAGCGCAGCTTATAGCAGTTGTGCTTCTTTCCACCTTCGAGTCTTTATAGCAGTTGCACTCTTCCCTCTGCCGTTCTGCTGTGACAGTGCTCTCCTGCGTGGGTGCTGTTTACTGTAGTTGTGACATGCCACGCTCCTCTGTTTTGCTGTGGAACATCCTTGACATGACTTGTCTTTACGGATGTTGACCCATGTAAAGAACTCCTTTTTGTTACTACAACCACCAGGTGATGATGCTGCTGTCTTGTCATATGTGTGCCTGCTTTGTCTATTGAGCGTAGGGTGATCAGCGCACACTGGTGCCGCTACATTCTCATGCTATGACAGTACAGTACCACATGATGCACATTGAGGCGATGGCCGCATCAATGGTATTTTGTCCTTTCGCTCTCATTCTTCTATTGTTGCGAACTCAATATTGGCATGCTCGTATGGTCAGTGCTATACTACTGTAACATGTGCTGCTCTACTCCACTAGTGTCACGTTGCTTTGCTATCTGTCGACTTTATTACGGTTCGGAAGATAGGTGTTCTCTTACTACTAGGCCAGCACTTCGCATCCTAACGACATACCTTTGTCCGTAAACATATGCCTACATCTGCCATTCTTGTCGGATGGTTCAGTTTGGTGAAGCAACAGGCTGCAGTAAATCCAAGCCGCCGGCATCGGTATCAAACACAGATACCAATAATGCTGATGCCGATTGCGGCAGGCTCTCAAGCCTTGGCCTCGTTTATCCGAATACAGAGAGATGTTTCCGGCCCAGCCAGCTTTGCGGAGCAGAACGCCACTCCAAAAGTAAAGTAAACGCAGCACGAACCCCATGGCCTTCAGCAAGAGCTAGCTATCGCTACAAAGTGTCATGCTAGCCTGCTGAAAGTCCACGTTTTCAATCAAGCTGCATCACGCACTGATCTTCGTGCAAGGCTTGCGTTGGCGCTGGTCATGTTATGTCCAGTTCGGTGTCATGCTTCATCACGAACTATCTGCATATACAACTAGCTGAACTTCCGTTCTGTTGACCCCCAAGGGCCATCCGAATCTTCGACCCGTAATCTTCAAGGACGAACTTGAGAGTCTGCAGTCTAGATTCCAACTTTCTGTTGGCGATATGGTTCTCATTCAATGGTCCCTTGCTTCCGTGAGTCTGCACTCATATCCGCAGATCAAGCGTCCTAGGTCTCCTCAGGGCTCCACCTGACCAAACACTAGCGAAAGTAGAGGAGAAGCCGAAAGAATCTCTGCAAGTGCTGCAAAACCCTTCTGTGCTCGTAGCTGTCCTAACTTTAGTATGTTGTATACTTACGGGTATTTAGGTTTGCTGTTGGTGGATACCATAACAATGAAAGCACGAGTAACGACATAAACAAAAACGATACATCCCCACCTGGACCAATATGCGCGCACAACGGGCCTCTACACTTTAGTCGCCAGAGTCGCACAGACTTGCACAGGGGGTTGAGGACTTCCGCGGGCTGGGATGTATGATTTGGCAAGGTTCAGGGCGATGCTTTGAGGCATGGAGATGTTTGACACCAAACCCCTCAACCCTTAGGTAGGGTTTGTGGGTTATGGGGTTGGGATGTCGGGAGCCAATGGTTGGGGCTTGCGCGATTCCGAGGGAGTCAACATCGGGGAGTATTGCGACTAATATACAAGCCTTAAAATTCAAGATAGAGCTTTGGGGTTTATGATACGAGAATTAGTAGAGAATCCCCAAAGTAGCAGAGGTAATTATTATGGCACCCATATTATTCGATTTCAGATTTAGAGAACTTCAGAGCTGCAGGCTGACCATTGCAGCATCATGTGCTGAGAGGTTTTTAGCATAACCTTGCAGAATGTCCCTCCCCGAAACCCAAAACCTGCAGGTTTAGGGTTTAGGGTTCCTTAACCTACAGCCCCAAACCCCCAATGCCCTCAAGCTCACCCCTTCATATCGAGGGTTGTGCTTGGAGATGCCAAGCTCTGTGCGATCAAGCAAGCGACGGCGGACATCCGACAGCTGGGAAACCTTGAACTGATTCATGCTCGGGCGGCTCTTCATTCCTAGCTTGGTGGGCTTGGTGATTGTTCGTGTTGATGAAGCTGCTGATGAGGGATGAGATGACGAGAATTAGCGCACCAAATTACTATGGTAGCAGCGGTGACTAATGATTCGGATGCCCGTGGATGTTCAAACGTCAGATTATGTGACTCTCCACTCGCACACACATACCGGCTTGGATCGACATCTCGTGTCAAGCCCGGCCAATGCAACAGAAAGCACCAGATGTCGCCTAGAAGGCTGCACAAATACGATTCATTTCCACAAGGGAACCCTAGGCCCTAAATGCTAAGCGGTGACCCAAGACGCTAAACACACTGAATCGCACAACCCA